AGCACAATGTAGGAACATATATATGTACTAGTTCTGCTTGAGCTAATGCCCTCAAAATAGCAGCATGGCCCCGGTAGCACAGGCAGCGGCTTGGGCTAGTTGTCCAAGTACATATCTGTGAGGTTAGACAGGGCAGCTAACCCAACCTGTCAGGCCACATGGGTATTTTTAGGTGCTAACTTAAGGAGAACTAGTTGACACGTCTACCTACACTGGGGAATGACACATCTGATCTCTTGTGTGGACACAGCCTATGAGAGAGTCTGGAACATCGTCTCTGATAGCGGTTGGAACTGCCCTATGTGACGTGTCAATTCTCATGCCTAGTGATGATAATATACATACTATTAATTAATTCACTGCTGATGTCAGAAAGCAGAGGGAGATTCACAGCATTGTATCATATACTGAGTCATGGCTCCTCTTGATGCCGCAAGTGGCTGGTGTTTGAGCGATACCATCACTTACTTTTCTCCCATCATGAAGGAACATAGCTAAAGGAGCCTAGCAGAGCCCAGGGGCATAGCCATGTCCCTCCCATGGGGAGCCAACTCAAGCAGCCCAGTGGAGCTCAGAGAACCCACATTATCATATTTTAAACATCTGCACAATCTACCATGAACACTCTTTTTTGGCCACTTGTGTGGGTGGAGCTTATTTTGTGGGTGGAACGTGAAGCATAGGACTAGTATCATTTTCCCTTCAACGTGATTCTGGCTTAAAACACACTTTTCTGGCAGTCTTTTAACAATAGAAAATTCTGTCTGTCTGTCCTGCTGTGAGAGAGAGCCCTAATGTAGATTGTGTACTGTTTGTCGAAGTCAGACTGTATTCTCCCAACCATGTCTGCTCTGGCTTTTCTTTTAACATCTCTTAGCTTTACAATTTCACTTGTGGTAGCAGAGGTGAAAGTGCTAGGGGAGATCAGCTGCCAGTATTTTACCAGTACTGGGCAGTACAGCTGTGGGAGATTTTTTACAGCGCTTGAGGCAGTGCCCATGTATTCCTGGGTTCATGTACATTGAAGGTGTGCCTGAAAGCAATATGTTGGAGACATGTCAAATTGCAGGCCATAACCTGAATTGAGGGAGCTAAGGAGGAACTGCTAGTGGACGGCAGAACACATTTCCTCCCCACCTAATCCATTCTGGATATGTCTTGAATCACACCAGAGGAGTGGGCTCTCACAATCTCCTTTGTGGTGTTGCCCAAAATGTCCTTAATTATAAGGCATACCTCCCTGCCCTCCAAAATAATCCCTTTGTCAGGAAATAGGAAAAGAAGTACCCAGGATTAGGGATGTTAAATTTCAATTAACTGACTAACCGAATAGTCAATAAGGGCGACACCGCCTTTGAAGTGTAGAAACAGCCCTAGAGCTATTGCTACACTTCAAAGGCAAAAGTGCTGCCGGGAGCACGGGGCCAGTGGAGGCAGTCCCCAGCTGACCCCGGGCTCCGTGTGGCGTTGCCACTCTGAAACACTGCAGGGAGCCCAGCGTCAGGCTGCTCATGGCATTTCAAAGCAGCAGCGCTACATGGGGGAGACCCCAGTTGATCCTGGGCTCCCCGGGGCACTGCTACTTTGAAATGCTGCATGCAGCCTGGGGACATCCCAGCTGGCCCTGGGCGGCATGTGGTGTTTTTCAAAGTGGCAGCACCTCTCCCTTTTGCTTATCGGATCATCAACTACTTGACTAGTTCACATTCCTACCCAGGATCAGTCTTCCCTGTAAGCTGTGTGATTGTGCAGCTGCTCAGAAGAGATTCAAACACCCAGCTGATTAGCAGAGCATCCCCAGGTCAGTTTTTTGTTTCTACAGGTAGTGCACATTTGCACATGCCTCATTGCATATTTATTCCACACACGGATGGAAAAAAATCTGCACATGGATGGAAAAGATTAGAGGGAACATTGCCTCGGACAGCCCGGGATGGTGGAACCACATTTGTGCCATAGCTGACAGCTGATGGTACAGGAAACATTCAGATACGGGGGATGGCATGCCCAAACTGCACCCACAAAACATGTGCATGTGCTTAATGGGAACACATTGCATTTGCATGCTCAAATGCCTGCTTTGCACATGCAAACATCCATTCATATAATCACCATCTGGCCAGGTGCAATGTAGAAGAGCCAGTTTAGAAATGGGGTTGATAAAAGCACCTAGTTTCACATTTCCATATTTAATTTTTCCAGTGCTTGGAGCTAAAACATTGGGCCTGCATGATAAAAGAGAACAATCTGTCCCTGCCTTCTCCTACTTGCACCCCTTTGTGGTCTATTATAGCCCCCAAGGACACTAAGCCAGCTAGCCAACGCACCATGAACTCTTTGATGAATGTATCAACGTATGCCAGTGATTAAATATTTACACTGCTGCAAATTTAAAAAAAAAAAAAAACCTCGTTTTTAAGCGGCTTTTACTGGCGGGCTCCTGGGCACAAACGTTTGTTTTGCAAACGTCTGTTTCCTACTCCAATTCAGTGCCCTCTGCTTCCTATCACTCCACCTTATTCAGTCTGCCCCTGTTGTCCCACATTGCTTTGCATACAGCTTTCACCCAGCAGAAGGCTCCTGCTGAGACTGCTGGGACTTGTAGTCTACATCAGTGTTTCTCAACCAGTGGTAGGAGTAGCCTTAGGGGATACTTGAAAGAAGTTGGGAGAAGGGGGAGGGGGTACATCAAGACAACTGAAAATTGGAGAAAACTGAATTTTTGTTTTAAGTTTTACAGCGTTTTATTATTTTTGTACTTTTTACACCCAAAAATTTTATCCCCTGCCCAGCTACAATTAAGTTGTTTAAACAAATTTGTTGTACCAGTAGAAAAAAAATGTGTGTGTCTGAACACTGTAGATACTGGGGGATAATTATAATTTTTTTAAAGGGGTACTTTATACAAAAAAGGTTGAGAAACACTGGTCTACATCAAAAGGAAGCAGGCCTTTGGGAGATTTTAGTGGGAATTTTAAAGACTCTTCCAGGAGGTGACTCCAGACTCAAGTACAACCGTGCATGCAAAGAGTACTATTTCCTAACCATGTGTGCATTGGACTCCCAGGGAAATCTCAGTCTAGAAGAAGATTATAAAACACACAGTCAGACAGTCTCTCTGTCTCTGGAAAGCCAGAAAGCATTTATTTCTTTTATGTTACATCCCCGTGCCTTATTCTTTGTTTATGTTTTTAGATTATAAACCCTTCAACGCAGGGACTGTCTTCCTTTTGTATTTGTTCAGCAGCAGCATAGCATCATAGAATACTAGACCTGGAAGGGACCTCGAGAGGTCATCAAGTGCAGTCCCCTCACGGCAGGACCAAGCCCATCTAGATCATCTCTGATAGCTGTGTGTCTAACCTGCTCTTAAATATCTCTAGTGATGGAGAGTCCCCAACTTATCTAGGCAATTTATTCCAGTGTTTAACCACCCTGACAGGAATAAACATAACCACCTTGCTGCAGTTTAAGCCCACCCATTCTTGCGCCATTATCTGAGGCCAAGGAGACCAACATCGTCTCTCCCCCGGGGAGCACAATGGAGTCTCAAGCCCAGATGGGGACTTTGGGTCCTAGCATAATATAAATATTTAAAAATTATGACAGTAACCCTGTTGGGGGGGAGGGGAGAGAAACAGACACACACACTGTCTCTCTCTCTCTCTCTCTCTCTCTCTCTCTCTCTCTCACACACACACTGTCTCTCTCTCTCTCTCACACACACTGTCTCTCTCTCTCTCTCTCTCTCTCTCACACACACACACTGTCTCTCTCTCTCTCTCTCTCTCTCACACACACACACTGTCTCTCTCTCTCTCTCTCTCTCACACACACACACTCTCTCTCTCTCTCTCTCTCTCTCACACACACACACACACACAGTGTCTCTCTCTCTCTCACACACACACACTGTGTCTCTCTCTCTCTCTCTCTCACACACACACACACACACACACAGTGTCTCTCTCTCTCACACACACACACTGTGTCTCTCTCTCTCCCTCTCTCTCTCTCACACACACACTGTGTCTCTCTCTCTCTCTCTCTCACACACACACACACACACTGTTTGAGAAACAGTCCTCCTGGGCACTTTGGAAAGTTGGCAACTGTACAGCCCTGGAGGAGAGTAAAATAGCTTTGATTCATCTTCATGTTCATAGAAGCGTATACAGCCACTGCCATGCATCTTTTGTGTTTCTTACCTCAGCCCCTGCACCCTTTTAGAATGTGAGGCTACCTTAACAATTAATAATCCTTGAGGGCTCAGCAAAATGCTTGTTAATCATCACACACACACACACACACTCTCTCTCTCTCTCTCACACACACACTGGAAAAAACAGCAAGCAAATGGTCTGGTAGCACTTTGTAGACTAACAAAACATGTAGATGGGATCATGAGCTTTCGTGGGCGCACTCCCTCTGGAACTAGGCTGTGGAGGGCTCTGGCTTGAAGTGGTTTCCAGACGCAGTTTGGCCCACTGGCTGTCAGCACCCCCACTATAAACACTGTTCCAGCTCCCCCTCCCCCCTTGCCTGCACCCAGCCTCTCCCCTCTGCACAGGCAAACGCCGCTCACCCCCAGAGCGTGCGGGAACAGGCGCATCTCCCCCCGGTTCCTCTCGCCAGGGCCACAGCTGCGGACGCTCCGGGGGCGACACAAAGGCGCCCCCGCCAGAGGCGCGCGTACAATGGAGTAGCGGGAGCCAGGCGCGTCCCGCTCCATCTGAGCTGCTTTCGCGGCCTTTGTTCGGGCCGCGGGCAGCGCAGCTCGCAGCGCTCGGGGGCGGGCTCCTGCAGGGCCCGCGAGCAGTTCAGCGGCTGCTGGCCCCCTTGCCCACGCAACCCTCCCCCACTCGCCGCCCCGCCGCGGGTGGCGACTACAAGCCCCGTGGGCCTCTGCGCTTGCGGGGTTTGCCCCCCCCCGTGGGAAGGCGGGGCAGGAGCCCGGCAGGGGGGCGGAGGGAGAGGATGGGGACAAAGCCCGGCACGGCTGCTCGCTGCCAGCGGCCGCGTCTCTTGCCCGGCGCCCTGCGGGAGGTGCCTGCCAAAGGGGGGGGGGCTGGAGCCGCTGCATGGGGGACAAAGCCGCAGCTGCTGCTGCTGCCGCCGCCGCCGCCTGCTGCTGCCGCGTGGGGGCGGCCCCGCCTCCCTCTGCCCCCCGCTGAGCCGGAGGATGCCCCGGGCCGCGGGTGTGTGAGAAGCTCGCTCCCGGCCCGCGGTGGCGTTTGGATGCGTTTGGCCGCCCCGCGCCTGGCCCCGCGCCCGCCGCGCCATGCACACCGTGCAGAAGGACACTACCTTCACCAAGATCTTCGTCGGGGGGCGGCCCTACCACACCACCGACTCCTCCCTGAGGAAGTACTTCGAGGGCTTCGGGGACATCGAGGAGGCGGTGGTGATCACCGACCGGCAGACGGGCAAATCCCGGGGATATGGCTTTGTAAGGGCGGCCGCCCGCCCCTCCCCAACCCTCGGCCCAGGCAGGTGCCACGGGGATGGGCGCGCAGAGCAGGCGGGGGGAGGGGGAGAGGATCAGCCGAGCTGGGGCAGGAGGGAGCCAGGCTCAGGCGTGTCCCATGGGAACCCGGGCTCTGGAGCGGTGACAGGATCTTGCTATGTGCCAGGATGCAGTGGTCGGTTAAAGCGCGTGGGAGCCTGCGATGCCCCCTACTCCGGTCCCTCGCATCCTCCCCGCGTCCTGCCTAGCCTCCCCAGGCTGCCAGGCGTGGTTCCCTGCAGCCCTTTCTCCGGGCTTCTCGCTAAAGCCGGCAGAATCCCTTTGTCTGTGCCCCCATCCCCCTCCAGTTTCCCTGGGCAAGATGTGACTTTCAGGCCTGCACCGCCCCCTGCATTGCCCTGCTCTTGCACCAGCTAGCTAGCTTGGGGATTACATGGGCTGGATGGGTTGTGAGATCTCTTCTGTACACAGCCATCGGTACTGGAAGTGGAGGTGCAGAGGGTACTGCACCCCCACTCCCGCCCCCGGCTTGAAGTGGTTCCCATTGTGTGCAGAGTTTACAGTTTGATTCCATGGATCGCAGTACCCCCACTATAAAAAGTTATGCTGTTCCCTACCCCCACACGCCCACCCTCTTGCTAGAAAGTTGTTTGTTTCCCACTTCATCATTGCTCAGATCTGTTTTTCTTCTTGTAGGGGAGACAGCTGAATGCAGGAAAACTTGGGCGAGGGAGTGAGGCAGAGAGTGGGTTGGGCTTTTTTTCACTCTTCAAAGGCCCTTGATTGAGAGCACTGGGCTAAGAACCTCCTGTGCTGGTTGTTCTGTAGTTCATTTCAATATCCCTTCCCCCGCGCCTTGCTGGCTTGTTTCTTTAGAGTGCTTCAGTGAAGCATATTCTCTGCAGCCTTCACTGGCTGCATCTTCTGTATGATTCATGAGTGTGTTCTTTGCTTCAAGTTTCCTTGAACAACCTCTGCTGGGGGGAGGGTTTTTTGGGGTTTTTTTGCTGGGGGAGGGGAGAGGTTAAAGTGGGGGGGGCGGGGATTGCTGGCAGATCCCCAGGAGAGAAACTTGTTGGAGCTTTTTGTTTTTCAACCCAGAGCACAGGACCCATTCTCCCTTCTTCCCTTCCCCTGCAACTGAGATTTCAAGAAAGCACATTTAACTTCTCACCCCAAATAAACTTCATTAGGCTTCAGTCATTGCTACACAATGGGTTGTGCTTCACTTCAGGTGACCATGGCAGACAGAGCTGCAGCTGAGAGAGCATGCAAAGATCCCAACCCCATCATTGATGGCAGAAAAGCAAATGTGAACCTGGCATATCTGGGAGCAAAACCAAGGAGTATTCAAACTGGTGAGTTTTTCAGCTCTCTCTGTTGGAATAAGCCTTAGTTGCAAAATGGGAAATGTGTTGGTAATTCATCTTAAGAGCCACACTAGCCCCTCAGTTTTGCTTGTCTATTAGTGTACTATGTACTTTAGCTTTCTCTGCTCCCAATTTCCTTACTTGAACCCTCTATGGCAAAATTACACATGCATGTACATCCAACCTCCAATGGTGTGGGGTAATGATACCTGCTCCAGAAATTAGTGTATAATACACTGTGTAGTTAATATTTTTATTCCTACAAATACTGAAGTGTAATTGCACCTACCATGCCACTTCTTTAATATATAGGTTGACTGCGTATCATAGCAAATGAGTATTTGTGTTTCACTCTTTAGATGAGTGAGTTTCCCATGTGCTCCTTGTTCAGAATTCCAGCCTGATCTGTATGGATGTCCCACGAGTATATTAAAATTACTGTGCCCTTAAACAATGTTCAGTTAGGAAGTTGTTCTTTCTCTCACACTTTGTATTTGTGGCTGTATGCCTTATATTAACTAAACAAAAGCATTAATTGTAGTGTGTAATATTAAATTTTTCACAATATTTTTTTCAGGTTTTACCATAGGTGTGCAGCAGCTACATCCAGCCTTTATTCAGAGACCGTATGGGTAAGTGGAAGTATTTTTAACTAGTTAATTTAATAGTCAGTTTCAATTCAAATGCTTGAATCAACTTCCTCTTTTTGTGTGTGTGTGAGGGGGGGGAGGGACTCTTAAGTCATAAAGATGAGGAGTGAAGCTTCAGCATCTGTAATTCAGCTTTATAGTACTTTTAGGTGCGCATTGGAAAGGTGGTGGCTTTTTTCTAATTTTCAGTTTTCATATGACTCCTAGCGATCATCAAGTCAGTCATAATAAATCATGAGAGACTTGTTTTGTAATACATTTATTCCTGCTTTAGCAATTTCAAGAATGCAGAAGAATCCAAAGAAGTGGCATGTATTTTTCTTGTCATAATATTTTAGTTGTCAGAACAGTCGGGGAAATAACATGTTTCTTTCATAAGATCTGCTCTCTCCATCTTGTTTCCCATGCAATCACACTTGGGTTACAATTTTAGTCGGGGAAACAAGCTGCATTGGAAACAAAGTCTAATACTTAATGAAAGCAACATTAGGTCAAAAATTGATTCTGGACAGATGTTATACAGGGCTTGAATAGTCTGCAAAAGTGCGCTTTTGTCTGCTGCTTTCAATAGCTTATACCATCCCTACTCAATCAGAAGTCCTCTTTTCCAGAGCAGCTGCCAGATCCTATTAGATATATAAAAAGACAAGTGTGCTTCAAGAGAACAATAGCTACTGTCATACTGCCTTCATTTAACTGTTTAATGATTGATGCAGTTCTTTTTTTCACTTCATTTCAGAAAATGAATATTAATAGAAGTTTTTTTTGTTTAGAGCATTAAGCAAATGGGTGCACTTTTTTGAAGTTCTTGTGCACAGTCATTTTGTACTTTTATATTACAATATGATTTTTTTCCTGTTTTGATTTAACTAAACAATTTCATTCCTTCCCTGCCCTTAATTCATAGTCTCCTTCTTTCATTCATGTCCCCTCACACTCATAGTCCCACAAATGTCTTGGTATTTATAATTCGAACCAGTGTAGGGATGTAAGAGGCAGTGTTGCCATAATAGTGCTCATACCACATGCTTGGTGTGTATTATTGAAACATGCTAGGTTTCGTAAATAGTTAAGTCTGTGCTGGAAGGACTGGAGTAACATTTGTTGTGAAAAGAAGTCTGTCTTTTGAGGTGCAAAGAGCAGGAGTGTTTCGGGTAGACAATATTTTTGGTCTTGTCCTTTAAAGTGTTGTTTGCATGTGAAATACAACAGCTTTCTCAGCCTACAAGACAAACAGTAACCTTGGTATTTCTGGCACATGAATGCTCGAGGCCTTTTCTAAAGTGCGCACAAGCGCATAATTAATGTAGCTCTTAAACTGCACTCAACAAGATTCTCTTCCCATGTGAAGTGTAAAGAGAAGAATATAGTGGAACAGACTAGGTTCCCATTGACTTCAGTCAGCTTTAGATCAAGCCTAGCTCATGCAAACACCCTCCCGTCATTCCTGTCCTGACTTTTTACACAGCAATTTCAGCTGTATAGGTGGGGCAAAAAAGAAAAAAATCTTTGCAGAAGTTTTTTATAACTTCCTTTTAGCTTCATGCATTAAAAAGTCTAAGACTTAATAAGTTTTCATTGAGACCCACAGTTAATGTTCAAGTTTTTAGGCATCAGTTTAATCATTAAAACCAACAGGGGTACATTTAGTACACATGACAATGAGCACGGCAAATTATTTATCAGTTGCCAAGAGACAGGGAGGATGAGGGAGGAGATTTTATATCTCATTATTTGCAAGCATCAGTAAGCAAGAATTTCACTGTGTTCTTTTCCAGCAATGACTTAATCACGGGAAACATGGCTTGGCCAAAAATATTGTACCGTTTACCTTGGTGCCATGAATTGTGCCACATTTGCAAGCCAGAGCGTCACTTGAGCAACAAAGTCTGCTACTTCCATTTTTGTCTTTTTTTCAAAGCAGTCAGCAAAGTAAAAACAGTGTAGGTTCTGACCCTGCATTCCTTGGTCACCCAGGACTTCATCCGCCTTCAGTTAAATTTTTTGATCTGTTATGCTTGTAGAATCAGGCCCAGTTTACTTCACTTCAAGTTTAATTTTGTCATCTCCCACTCTCTTTCTTAGGCCATGGGCTTGTCTGCTGTTCAGTTACTTACAAATATTACCTAAATAAGCAATCTGTTTCTAGGCTAGCTGCATACCAGGTACATGGGGCAAAACATTTCCAATAGTCAACCCAGGAACATCCCTATTAAAGTGCTAATGTTCCAATAAGGGCACGCTGGCACTTAGCTGCAGTGGTCCTTGCTGCTGCAGAACACAGCAATGAAGTGGTTAATGAATAATTTATGAAGTGCTACACAATGAATTAAACGACTTAAAAAAGAAAGAACCTCAAAATCACGCTTAGGAAGCTGACGCTGAGTAGCTAAGGCCCAAAATGGAGGCTGATATTTGGACAGGAGCTTACAGAAGCTAAAATAAATAGACATGTGTCAATGCAGGTTAAAATCTCCAAATACCTGTAATAGGTACTATTTTACTGGTTTAAAATGTAAACCTTTCCTGGCACTGCTGGGAATGCAAATGCAGTTGCAGCATTGGGCCAGGACCTAAAGAAGAGAAAGTGAAACTAAATAATCTACTCCGCTCTTCACTCTGCTGAAGCAGTAAAGTGAATCCATAAAAAAGGGGGGAAAGCAAGGGTTAAAAAAAAAAACCCTTCAAATTCTAACCTAAGACTTTAATAACACAGGCATAGTGGTATCTTCCTAATTTTTGAGAGATATTATGAACTTGTAGGCACAATTTTGGTCCAACGGATTGTTCCTGCACTAACTGGGGGCGTAATTTGTAGAATTGACACATATAGCGGACAGTCAGGAAGCTAGATGTCTGAGTACCCCAAATTGTGTTTGCAGTTATTTGTGGGCATGATTACTTTGAAGGCATACAATTGCGCCAGTGTGACCCAAACATGAGGTGAAACAACAATTGGAGCAGTTCCTGGTTGCTATAGTGGCCCTTAAAAAATTCCCAAGAACATCTGAGACTTCACGAAAGCAAAGACGGGCAGGTGGGTAAGTTGTCCGACAAGGAACATTTGGTGCAGCTGCAGTGTGGTCTATGCAAAAATGTCTTTTGTGTTCCTATGCTGCTGTGTTCCTATGTGAACCAGCCTGTCATCTGGCATAAACTAAAATAGGGCACAGGGAATCCCTGACTGTTTCTCTATCTGCAGCCATGCCTCAAGGTCTGGGTCACCTACAATATTCTCTCTAATATTTTTCCATCCAGAATAAATTTTGTTAGTGCACCAAGGCATGTGCAGATGTGCATCACCCACAGAAATACATCCCTGTCGTCTGTGGGTGCTCTGAGAATCAGCTGGCAGGCATTTGAATCTTTCCTGGGCAGCCACCCAAACTCTCAGCTCACAGGGAAGACTAGTCACCTGCAGTGTGTGGCCTAGGCACTTCTACAGCTGCTCTACCTTCCTATGGAGCCCTCTGTTGAGAGGGATTTGTCCTCTGGCTAAGTAAACTAGTTTTAGGGCTGTTTTGTGCACTGTCTGAATTTTACAAAGGTGGCTTAATGCAAGTGCATGCGGCCAATGAGTAAAACACCTGTCATAAGCAGAGTTGCGTGGCCGCGCACAAAAAATTCAAAACCTTCCCACCTCCTTCGCACAGCCCCACAGCAGCTCTCACCTTCCTGCTGGACCTGGAAGGTGAGTGGTGTGGCTGCTTTGGTGGCCGGGGCTGAGGCCACGTGGCTGGTGGCTGCTCCTGTGGCTGGAGTCGTATGTTTAGGCAGCTGTTCTGGAAGCCAGGACTGGGGCCATGTGGCTGGTGGGAAGGTGGCTACTGCTGGAGGTTGTGGCGGGTGGGTGGCTACTGACAGTGACTATATGGGTCTGACACTGGGTGGGGGAGGGGGAAGGAGAGGAGGGAGGAAGCCAGGTAGTCCCCTCAGAAGAGCATGGGTAAAGTGTGCCCAACTGTACTATTGAATATACACTTGGCCAAATGCATGGACAACATTTGTCATGACTGCGTTGTTGGCTTTGTTAGTCAGACATACAGGAGTGCATGGCATTTTATAGATACATGCATCACAAGGAGGGACCTTAGGAATGACACATGTTCAGGGTCTGCAAACATGGATCAGATGGCTGGGTTAGGGGGCCAACGGCCCAATCTGTCAGCATATGTTAGTGAGCATTGTGTGTAGTCACATGAACAGCCCCATTAGATTAAAAACTATTCACTGCAATAGGCAATGGGCCTGTTTAGCATTTACAATATTTAAGAATAACTGAGGCTGTAGAGTGCCTGCATACTTAGCTATGTAATGTACATTATTACATTCTGCTACACCAACTATTTAAATGTTATGACCTCTCTGATATTCTCTTACCAGCACTCCACTAGATATAGAGATTCTCCAAAATCAGGCAATATACGGGTTAATGTTTGTAAAACAACATTGACAGACATTGCTCTGTGTATCCTTAGAAGCCTCACAATACAGATAAAACAATGAATAATGGGCTTGATTCTCTGGTGCCCTAGAACCGTTTTGTACTCCAGTGGCACAAAGGTATCCTAAAGGCAGTGATCTCACTTCCCGACTTGGGACTTATTCCCAGCGTAGGTAGGGGACTCTCTATCTTGCTTAAAGCCAATGAAATGGCTATGTGGTGCCTCCTCCCCTCCCCCCAAGCTCCTGGAATAGGGGAATTCTGGAGGAAAAGTAGAGCTGTGCTGCAGTGTGCTTATTCTTGGCCTCCTATGACTTCTATGGAGCTCTGGACAGTGCAGATTTAGAGCAGCCTTGAGGCTAATCTAACATACTGAAAACTTTACACGATTAATTTTTTTAATTTGACTTCATATTAAATAAACACTTAAATTCCTGCACCTTGTTAATTACCCCTTATTTTAGTATTTTTTCTTCCATTCTTTATATATATATATACACACACACACACACACACACACAGTGCTCTTTTCATAAGA